ATGCAGTTTTGCTAATAACTTGGACCTATGTGGCCCTGTTATTGGGCGCCCTTGCCCAGCCCCAATTTCTTCTTCAAGTAATCTTCCTAATTTCACAACGTTGAACTCGTGTTAAATGCTTATATCATTTCTGTGCTCCAAGTAGTATCCATCATCCACAGCATGATTTGTCAAATGACTCGCACCTTGTCCCATTATTTGGTCTTAATAATTTTTATCTGTGGAGGACAAGTTATTCAAAGTTTTGCTTAATAATTTTTCCATCATATCAAATTTAGCGATTGTTGGAGCAATCTCTGGTGGTGCTGCCTTGCTTTTTATTGTCCTAGCAATTGCATTTGCATGGTGGCGATGGAGGAAACCTCAAGAACTTATCTATGATGTACCCGGTTAGTTTTCTTTGGAAATTCAATGCATTCAAGTTCAATTAAAACATGGAAACTAACTACCTTCATCATACATTTCCGCCTCTATGCGGATGAAGGGGATCCAGAAGTCCATCTGGGGCAGCTTAAAAGGTTTTTGCTGCGAGAATTACAAGCTGCTACAGGTAATTTTAGCACAAAAAACATTCTGGGTAGAGGTGGATTTGGAAAAGTTTACAAAGGATGCTTAGCAGATGGTTCACTTGTGGCTATAAAAAGACTAAAAGATGCGCATACACCTGGTGGTGAGCTGCAGTTTCAAACAGAAGTGGAAATGATCGGCAGGGCTGTGCACCCAAATCTCTTAAGGCTGCGAGGCTTTTGTATGACTCCAAAAGAACGATTACTTGTATACCCCTATATGGCTAATGGAAGTGTAGCATTATGTTTAAGAGGTAAATCATGTTAGCATCATACTTCAATGAATGATTTGTTGTTATCACTTGTTTGTTGAATTATTTTTTGTAACCAACTATCCACGTAAACCCTCTTATCTTCTGATGTTCTGATAAAACATACCTGTAGAGCATCCTCCATCGCAACCTCCTCTTGATTGGCCAAGTAGGAAGCGAATTGCATTGGGATCTGCTAGGGGTCTGTCATATTTGCATGATCACTGTGACCCAAAGATCATTCATCGTGATGTGAAAGCTGCAAATATCTTGTTGGATGAGGAGTTTGAAGCTGTTGTTGGGGACTTTGGGTTGGCTAAACTAATGGACTACAAGGATACCCATGTAACTACTGCTGTGCGTGGCACAGTTGGACATATTGCTCCAGAGTACATCTCTACTGGGAAATCTTCGGAGAAAACTGATGTTTTTGGATATGGGATTTTGCTTCTAGAACTTATAACTGGGCAGCGGGCCTTTGATGTTGCTCGGCTTGCAAATGACAATGATGTCATGTTGCTTGATTGGGTATGTGTGCTTCTAATTCTCTCTTTTCCATTATCTTTATGACAATGGATTTGATTTTCTATGCTCTCCCATGTGATACCATCATACCTGATGCAGTTGCTTGCAGTTTTAAAGAGTATTTGTTTCGCAGAATAGGGATAAGACCTGCCAAGCTTGCTTTGTTGAACGATTTACTATAAATCTTATGAAAAAATAAGAGTAACAAATATGAAATAAAGATGGGATAAAAAATGTGTCGTTAGATAGCTAAGAAAAAGTATCTTTCATAGGAGCCTTTTTTGCTTCCAGATGATTGAATAGGATTTCTAGTAGTTGAGTTTATGGTGTGAAAAAGTATCTCGAGAAAAAACAGGTTTAGTTTCCTTTTGCTCTTGGTGCTTCCAATTTTTCAAAAACTGATGCAACTGACATTTTTACAGGTGAAAGGACTTCTTAATGAGAAGAAGTTGGAAATGTTGGTAGACCCTGATCTCCAAAACAAATATGTAGAATCTGAGGTTGAGCAGCTAATCCAAGTTGCAATGCTATGCACACAAGACTCTCCCAAGGACCGACCTAAGATGTCAGAAGTAGTGAGAATGCTTGAAGGGCATGGTTTGGCGGAGAGGTGGGATGAGTGGCAAAAGGTGGAAATTCTCCAGCAAGAGGTCAAACTCGCCTCTCACCCCAATATTAACTGGATCGCTGACTCAACAGAAAATCTACATCCAGTTGAGTTATCCGGTCCAAGGTAACCATGGCACAGCAACAGTAAAGAGAGGAAAGTTACTAGTTTTTTTTTTTTTTTTGGTTATTTAGTGATTGTGAACTGTTTTATATCTAAGCTCCTTTACATTTGTGCACATGAGTCATCTTTGTCGAGGTCCAATTTGTATCTTCTACTGCAATTTGACAGGGTCAATAGACATTCATGTATATTTACAACTGGGGCATGCAGCAGATTCTATTAGCATCACATGTTTGAACTTTGTTTTCCTATACATCGTTTTTTCTTTTGGGCATAAAAACACCAACAAAGGTTGCAATGCTTGCCTTGTTTTATTTAATCAAAGCTACCACACTACAAAAAGAAAAAAAAAAAAAGACTAATTGCCTATAATTTTATTTTTGCGTTTGCACCAAACGCTAGGAAACTAATTTTTTTTGTTTTTACTTGCTTTATTATAATAGCATTTTACAAAACACAAGAAACTTCCTGCCTTTTATTTGACAAATGCAAGAATTAATTTAAAAAAATAGCGTGTTGGATACAGCGCCAAATCTAAAACTAAACTAAAATTAGAATTAAAAAAAAAAAAAAGAAGTAGAAAAAAAAGCAACGAAGGGAACCAGAAAGCATTTTCCCAAACCTTTCAGAAAACAATTGTTGTTGGTAAATCATCCAAATTACCCCCCTAAACTTGTTGGAGGGTGGCAAAAAATGCCCCTAAACTGAAAACAGTAGCATATGACCCTTTAAACTTGTCAACAGTGGCAAATCAGCCCTTCTCCAACGGCTGATGTCATCATTACGTCCGAACTTAACCGAGTTCATGTTTTTGTAGGGTCCACTATTGAGCCGTACTTGATGTAGCCTTTTTTTTTTTTACTTTTTAACATTTTTTCAAGAAAAATGATTTGATAATTTTTTATTAGTTTTTTTGTATAATTTTATATATCATTTAAATAATTAATTCTTTTAATTCATTTAAAATTTATAATATTGAGAGTATTTATTTAATTAATAACATGTAAAAATTATATAAAAAAATTATACAAAAAGATTATCTATATATAATCATTTTTTTATAAATGTAAAATTAATAAAGTAAATTAAATAAAGGGTTTTTAAGTTAGTTTTTTAATTTATGTTCCTAAGGTATAAATTAAATACATATTTATTATACATATTTATTATTAATTTATATAAAAAATTAAGAAATTAAATTTTATTTTCAACATCAATATCATCTGATATATTTTAATTAGATAATTAATAAAATTATCATCAATTTATATTTTTTATACAAATTAATAGTAAAAAGTAAATACATTTTTAACTTATATTTTTAGAAGACATAGTAAAAAATTCCTTAAAAAATAAGTGGCAAAAAAAGACAAATAAATTCAATAATAGTTTATCTAACCTAGATGTAATTAATATACATTTTAAAAATTAATTTATATAAAAAAATTAGTTTATGTAATTTTCATACTTCTTAATTTCTCTTCCTTCAAACTACTTTTTTATTTTTTAAAATTACTTCTTAAAATTATTTTCAAACAAAGCATTTATTGTCAAACAACTTCTCGTATGTGTTTCAAAAAGAGAGATGCTCATCTAATAATGACTTAGAATAACAATGATGCTTCCAAAAAGATTATTCCTTGATATGAAGGTGTCAAACAACTTCTCGT